ATTTTTCATAGATAGACTTTATCAAGTTGCGATAAATACCATCTATTCCAATGTTCTGCAGGATTTTTATCACGAGTGGGTGTTGAATTTTGTCAAATGCTTTTTCTGCATCTATTGACGTGATCATGTGGTTTTTGTCCTTCACTGTGTTAAAATAGTGTATTACATTTATTGATTTACATGTGTTGAACCATCCTTGCATCCCTGGAATAAATCCAACATGTTCAGGGTGTGTGATCTTCTTGATGACCCTCTGTATTGTTTGCCAGTATCTTATTAAGGATTTTTAAATCTATGTTCATTAAGGAGATTGGCCTGTAGTTCTCTTTTTTGGTTGGATCTTTCCCTGGTTTGGGAATCAAAGTAACACTTGCTTCCAGGAATGAATTCGTAAGTATTACTTCCCTTTCAATTTCATTGTAAAGTTTAAAGAGTAGTGGCAGTAGCTCTTCTCTAAATGTCTTGTAAAATTCATCAGTGAATCCATCAGGACCGGGGCTTTTCTTCGTTGGTAAACTTTTAATTACATTTTCAATTTCACTGATTGTAATTGGGGTGTTTAGAATTTTTTTTATCTTCTTTATTGAAATTTAGTAATTCATAAGTATCTAGAAATCTGTTCATTTCTTCTGTGTTTTCCATTTTATAAGAGTACAGCTTCTCAAAGTAGGTATTGATGGTCCTCTGAATTTCTGCTGGATCTGTTGTGACTTCATCTTTTTTGTTCTTAATTGCATGGATCTGAGCCTCTACTTCCTTTTTTTTTTTTGGACAAGGTTGGCTAAGGGTTTATTGATTTTATTTATTCTTTCAAAAAGCCAACTCTTCAATTCTTTGATTTTTGTGTCATTTTCTTAGTTTTCATTGCATTGATTTCTGCTTTAATCTTTAAAATTTCCTCCCTTGTATGAGCTTTAGGTTTTTCTTGCTCTTCTTTTTCTAGGACCTTAAGGTTCAGCATTAGGTTCTTTATTAGAGCTTGCTGTATTTTCCTAGTGTGGGAATTCACTGCTATGAATTTTCCATGTAGAACTGCTTTCATTGTGTCCCATAGATTCCTGTATGTTGTATTGGCAATATCATTTGTTTGTAAAAACTGTCTCATTTCTTCTTTAATTTCCTCTGTGACCCATTGATTGTTCAAGAGAGTGTTGTTCAATTTCTACGTGTTTCTGAAGTTCTTACAGTTTCTTATGCTGTTGATTTCCAGCTTAATTGCACTATGATCTGATAATATACATGGAATATCTTCGATTCCTTTGCATTTATTTAAACCTGTTCTGTTGAGCTAGTATGTGGTCTATTTTGGAGAATGACCCATGTGCAGCCAAAAAGAATGTTTGTCCTGATTTTGTAGGGTAACACACTCTATAAAATGTCTGTTAAGTCCATATGTTCAAAAGCTTGGTTCAGATCTAGTATTTTGTTGTTGATTTTTTTGTCTAGAAGATCTGTCTGTTTGTGACAAAGGGGTATTTAGATTCCCCCACTACAATTGTATTAGTGCTTCTTTGGTTTTGCATATTACTTACAATTTGTTATATAGCTGGGGGCATTAATATTTGTTGCATATATATTTATGATTGCCATCTCTTCCTCTTGAATTGCTCCCTTTTTGAGGATGTCCTGGCCTTCTTTGTCTCTCTCCATCAGATTTGTTTTGAAATTTACTTTGTCTGAGAATAAGATAGCTACCCCTGCTTTTTTCTGGGCTCCTGTCACATGGAGAACTGTTTTCCATCCTTTCACTTTCAGTCTATGGGTTTCTTTTTGCACTAGGTGTGTGTTTCTTGTACACAACATACTGTTGGCCTTTGCTTCTTAATCCATTCTGCCAGTCTATTTCTCTTGATTGGTGAATTGAGGCCATTGAAATTGATGGTTATAACTGATATGCACTGACTTATCATTGTCATGTTTTTGCCCAGTTGTTGGCTCTTTTTAATCTTTCCCCTCTCCCTTTAGTTTCTTGCCTTGCCTAATTGATTTGCTCTGTTGGGCCTCATGGTGTTGTGACCTTCATTGTCTTTTTCTAGGATATATTTTAGCATTGTTTGGAGTGCTGGTTTGGTATTCATGAAGTTTCTCAAGTGTTCTTGGCATGGAAGTATCTTATTTCCCCATCCATTTTGAAAGAGAGTTTTTCAGGATACATTAGCCTAGGTTGGAGGTTTTTCTTTGGTACCAGGGATTGAACTCGGGTCCATGCACTTGCAAGGCAGGCGGTGGAAGCACTGAGCTAAATACCTGACCCATGGAGGTTGTTTTCTGTGAGGGTTTGAAATTCCTGACTCCAGGCTCTCCTTGATCTGAGTTTTTGTGTTGAAAAGTCTGCTGTGATTTTGGTAGGCTTTCCTTTGCATGTGATTTGTTTCTTTTCTCTTACTGCTTTTGGTATTTTGTTCTTCTGTTTGATTTCTGGGATCTTGACTATTATATGTCTAGGTGTAGATTTTTTTTTTTTTTTATCATGGCTACTTGGTGTTCTATATGCCTCACTTATCTGTATGTCAAAATCTGTTGCTCTGTTTGGGAAGTTTCCTGTCCCTAATTCTGTGAACAGCTTTTTAAAGTCATTTGTATTTTCTCCTGATACTTCATAGATTCCTATCAGTGTTATGTTATTCTTCTTTGAATTTGGATCGGCTTCTCATGATGTCTTACTGTTTTTAAGAGATCTCTCTTTTCACAGTCACTGACTGCAATCCTATCTTCTATATCTGGCATTCTATCTTACATTCATTTATCCTTCTGTTAAACTTTCAATAGAGTTTATGATTTCCTGGATATCTGTTTGAATCTGTTTCATGTATTCCATTTCTTTTCTACGTTGGGCATTCATGGTTTCCATTTCTTTCTTATGCTGGGCCTTCATGACTTCTATTGTGGTCCTGAGCTTATCCATCTTTTTGTCAGTTTCTGTTCTAGAGTCTCTAATCATGTCTTTCATTGTGCTCACCATCTCTGTAGTTATCTGGGAAATTATTTCTGTTCTGAATTTTTCTAGAGTCTGTTTGATCTGTTTTGTTACTTCCTGTGCTCCGAGTTCAGGTTGCATTGGTGGTTGATTGTCATACTTTTCCACTTCATTTACCCTAGATTTTGCCATTGGTAAACTGGAAGTCTATCTTTGTGTCTTGCTTAAGTATTTTCTCATTTTTATTTTTGTTGTTGGGCTGTCCTTGGTTTAATACCTGTATTAGTATTTGATCTTCCTGATACAGTTGCTCTTTAGCATTCGAGTCTCTAATGACTCATGGACACTTTCATTTTCATAAAATCAGAAAGGAGAGCTCATTAAATCAATCACAACCCTTTAGCCCAGTTGATATAATCAGCAACACAATAGCATCAAGCACAGCTTAAAATTGACCATTTGTGGTAGTCATTAAGGTATCACCTTTAAATAATGTGAATTAAATCAAAATCAAAGAGAAGCTGAAAACATGTTAATAGTGAATAAACTATTCAATATAGCAACTTTACCCTTTAGGATGGGGACTTAGGTGGAGTTAGGAACAGAGGAATAGATAGGCAGAAGAATTAGAGAAGGTTTCAAGTGAAGCCAGAGGACACAGGATGACCAGGCAAGCTTTAGGAAACTGTTGAAGACAAGAGGGGAAGACAGAGTGGAAGAACAAGGACAAGAATAGATCAACTTAACAGTAATAGGGACTCACTTTCCTTTGAAACTGGTGACTCTTGAGTGAAGGAAAAAGAAAGACAAAAAGAAAGGAAAGAAAGAAAGAACATAAAACAAAAAAGAAGAAATCCGAATTAGGGCAGGAACAGGAACAGAAAGGGAGATGAAGAATAATATAGGGGAGCAAGAGACTGAATGGGAAAAAGAAGACAGAAAAATGAAAGCATTTGCAGAATGGAATGAGGAAAAGAAAGATGAAAAAGAATTTGAAGAGCGTCTTTCAGGGTATATCTCTGCTGTCATAATAGACACTGTGTGCAGCAATGTGCAGAACTAAGTCATTTAGTCTCAGCTAGCTGATGGCTCACCTCTGAGATTCAGGCTGAATTCAGGCTGCTAGGCCCAAGTTGAACTCCCTGACCTCCTGCAGGGTTGAACTCTGTAAGGTTCTACTACAGGTTCCCTCTGCCCTTTCTCTGAAGATATTCAAAGTTCTGATGGAAGGTGGTGATCCCTCCAACTTTCCAACTATGGAGGTCTGACGTGCCTTTGCTGCAGTTGTTCATTTCCGTTCTATCATCTGGAGCTCAGGAAAATGAGTTATGACCACCTGTGCCTCTGAAGAGTGGATCCAGGAACTGGCACAGTGAGGAGGCCCGAGAGCACCGTGGTGGGTAGGTGGAGGTATGTTGTAGAGGTGCCTGCCCTTGCTCACAGGTTTTCGCCAACTGCTGGATAATGGCTGGAGCGAGGGTGGGATCTCCATGCGGCTTCAGTCAGATGGATGCACTCCAAAGCGAGGGCATAATATCCGCAGGGCTTCCTCGTGGTTCCTGGCTGTCTGCAGGATGCAAGCCCGAGCCTGGGTGAGATTTCTGCATGGCTTCTATGCATTTTGGATACTATTTATTGTTCAATTACCAGGTTTCCTTCGTAGATTTCAAGACCTTAGAGAGAGCGGGCCAGGAATATTTTTATCTTTGCTTATTATGTTATATCCTGCATCAAATAACCCAGGGTTTTGGAACTTGATCAAAGGAGTTGAAGAAAATGGCACTTTACCTCCAGGAAGCTTCCAGACCACCTGCTGTTCAACTATGTGTGTCCTTTGCACTCTCACGGGTCCTCTTATTCAAGGCTTCAGCACCTTTGGATTATGCAGAGTATTTGGTTGACCGGGTTTGGATTTGACCTTCAGACTGAAATGACACTGTTTATAGTATATATTTCTGGTGTCCTGCCTTCTAATATATCCAGGGTGACTTCAGAGAGAAGAATTGTCATCTGTATGTCCTTTTTCAAATTCCTGTGGAGTGAGCAGCTGGCCTCACTCCACTCCTACTTTATCATCGACCAGAGGAGACTCAGTAGTCAAGTTGGCTCATGCTCTGTGATCATAGATTCTGCATTTGTGAACTATGACTGTAATGGGCAGGAGGCACACAGTTAAGTTAGCAAATATAGTAAATAGTTTTGATACTATTTCTGTTCACCTAGTGTTTCTCAAGTGTCAGCATACACCAAGATGACTGATGGACCTGATGGTAACAGCCCGATGACAGAGCTGAGTTTAGCAGGCCTAGAGTGGTGCCTGGGACCCTGAATTTCTAACAGATTCCCAGCTGAGGCTGCTGTTGCTGGGATTATACCAAGAACCACTGTTCCAGTCATGTTCTCCATAAACACGAGTGCTCACTGTTGGCATCTGGGAGGCTTGGGTCAGAGGTAAGTGGAATTTAATTCAGGGAATTATGAGCTGATGCACTTGTTGGAGTGGGTGTAGGATTGGCCTGCAGGAATGGCTGCTGAAACAAGCTATCAGTCTGATCCCACGGGGTAGCACTGGCTACTGCGCAAGTGAGGGGACTGGGGGATCTGAAAGCCACATTGTCACCGTGCCACCAGGTATTGCTGCTCACAGCTGCCTCTCCATAGCCACATTTCCTTCCTTCCTTCCCGTACCAGGGATCAAACTCAGGACCTTGCACTTGTGAGTCAGGCAGTGGCACCACTGAGTTAAATCCCAGCCCCAGAGCCATGTATCTATGACTCTGTGACCAACAGAAAATGCCAATTTAGCTTTGTCTTCCAAATATCTCACAAGTACATTCAGAATCCTAATGCAAAGGAGCCTGGTATAATTTTGATCTACTAAGGCAGGAGTTAGGGAGTAGTAGTTGGAAGAAGTTAGAGATTAAGTAGAAGCCTAGTTTCTGGAGAAGGGGAAGGGATTAGGGAAGATATGATTAGCACAAGCGGTCTCCATGGGCTTAACCTCTCTTCAGTTGTTTTGGCCAGAGACTAGGCCCTCTCTGGGCACTGGCTTTCATTTGGACATCAAGAGGGGCTTCTGCATTAGGAAATAAAAGAGAAGACTATTAATTGAACTAAATATGTTTATGCTCTTGAGAAATAGTGACTCAAAAGGAGTGCTCACCCTGGCTTTTATCTTGCCATATATTTACTTCATTTTATGCAGGGTTCTCCATCCTTAATACTGTTGTTGACATCCTGCACTGTGCATATGGTTATTTGTTGTGGGAGGCTGTTCTGTGCACTGAAAGCTCTGTAGCAGCAATCCTGACCTCTACCCATGGGCCATCTAAAAGGCCTCCAAGTTGTAAAAACCCAAAACATCTCCAGACACCACCAAATGAGCCTCAAGGCACAAGATCGCTCATGGTTGAAAATCACTAATGTATCTAACCTGTGTACATATGATTTAAAAAAGTGTAACGCTTTATTACAGGCCTTTAAACAAGTCCATCCATAAATTATGGCATGCTATATGGTAGCATATTATGCAGTTTCAAAGAAGTACAATTATGTATCAAAATAAACAGTATATTGCTAACTTTTAAAAAGAAAATTGCATAGGTCTAATTGTAGCTTTGTGAAGAAATTGGAGGTGTGCATATGTGCACTCTCCAGTGAAAATAGGTCATAATAATAACATTGTTTCTGAGTATTAGGATTACCAGGTACTTACATTTTCCTCTTTTAATTTTTTTCCTGCATGTTCAATTTTACAAAAAAAAAATATGTATGCATTATATACATATGATGTTTGAGCAGTTACTGTCACCACTGAGGAGAGAGAAATGTAACATGCATGATGCATCTAATGTATTCCAAGTGTGGTGTCAGAGTCCTATGCAAGTCATCCCCCAGAAAGCGTGTGATGGTGTCGGTGTGGACTGGAGAGATCTGACAGAGCTGGATTTAGTCCTGAATCCTGGATCCTACTGTCCTTAGGTGAGTTGGCTCATCTCTGCAGATTGATGTTTTCCCCTTTACACTGGACCAAAGCATTCAGAATGGCCATGAGGATTAAAAGGGGTGATCTGTTGTACATATTATTGGTGATCCTTGGGTGAGCTTGCCCATAGGTAAGAATGTGAGCTTTCATTGCCGCTTAACCAGTTTTAGTCTTGCAGCAGTGACTGCCATATTGATTCCTCACCCTTCCTGTGTTACTTAGGAAGAGACAGCAGACCACAAGAAAAAGACTGTGCCTTTAAGGGCAAAAGAGATCAGGAGTAATGTAAGAAGCCCTGGGATTTTAAGTAGAGGAGTAGAGGAGTTTTCCTTTTTCCTTGACAAGGCTGCTGACAGGCCCTTTAGCAATATGGAGGCTAATTACTTGCCAGGAGTAAAAGAAAATGTGTGCTTTGGGTGTCCTGGAATTTCCCAGGGCAATAAATTACCACCATGGCAACCTGGCTTCATTGGATTTAGTAAAGACTTTTAAGAAGAAAAAAAAGTGTTTTCTTAGCTTTTATTGAAAACTGCTGGTCATTTGTGTCTATTTCATTTATGGGTCTTAATTGGATGAGGCCCATTTACAAGGCCAGTCACGACTGGGACTTCACAGCTCAGCTTTCTGCAATTTATGCCCATCCACACCAGCTTCCTCCTCCCTGTGGATCCTGGTCTCGGCCCCTGGCTCCTTTGCTCTGTGTGTCCCTTCTAGCTCTGCAAAGGAGGCTCTACTCTCCTCGACAGTTCATTTGGCTGCTTGGCTTTGCTGGCCTGACTGGGTGGCAGACACTCCTGACCCCACCCCTTGTATCAAGTCTACACCGCTGTGTTCCCACTTGGGCCTCTTTATAAGTAAGAGCCTTCAAATCATTTGAATCCGAGAGCTGCTTGAGTACAGAATGGTGTACATTAAAACTTTTGCAAGATTTTTTTCTTCTTTTTCTTTGAAGTGAAAGCCAGAGAGCTCTCTGATAAGAACATCCATGCAAAAGAATTTAACTTTTCCTCTCATTCTGGCTTATATTAAAAGGTGTAGCTCCTTTTTAAACAAATTTGTATTTCATAATGATTTCAAATTATATGCCTGAAATGAAGTCCCTGACAGCCTCTGGCAGAAGAGAGGTAATGGGACAATGTAGGAATGCTTGATTTCTTCCCTCCCTCCTTCCTTCCTTTTCTTTCTTTGAGAATTGTGCATTTTATAGGGTACAATGCAGTGTTTTGATCTATGCATACATTGTTGAAATATTCAATCATTTTAGTCCATTTGGCATCCAATAGATCTGAATTGGAAGTGCCACTGCCTACAAAGCAATATTTTTTGTCTCGAAGCCTGCTCATGAGTCTCCTTTGTCTTGTATAAGTAGCTCAATCCCCCTCCTCCCACCAGATGGGTTTTTTTGCCCCCCCCACTTGTATCGAGGTATAATTGTCAAATAAAACTTTATATATTTAAGTTGTACAACTGGATATGTGTGCATTGTAAAATAAAGATTTCACATTGTGAAATCAAGCTAGTGAACACACACCATTATCTCAATAGTTGCCATTTTCTCCTCTCTTCTCTCCCTCTCTTTATCCCTCTCCATCCTTCCCCCCCCCCCGTTTTTCTTTTGATGATAATAGTCAGATCTGTTTTCTTGGGAATTTATTTCAATCATTTAATTCAGTATTTTTAATGCAGCCACTATGCTGCACATTAGAGCCCTAGTGCTACAACTTATGCAACGTTTTATGCTTTGATCAACATCTCGTTTCCTTCCTGACCCCTGCCCCTGGTAACCACTGGACTACTTCATCCATGCCTCTGTGAGTTTGACTGTTTTAGTTTCCAAATATAAGTGGGATCGTGCAGTCTGTATCTTTTGTCTGATTTATTTCAGCTTCTCTCGACACCCTTCAGGTTCCTTTATAATGGTATTGCCTAGTGAGTTCAGCCCTCTGTGTGGCTGAAGTGAGCCACTAGTAAATTCCTCCTTCATATGGGAGATAATGCCTTGGGGCTCTGTACGTGGGGGTGAGGAGCTAACCGCAAGTATGAACTTGAACATGACTGTATTCCTGTGAATCCCTCATGTTCTTCCTGACCTGGTACTTCACTCCTCTGGCTCCCCTATCCCCTCTAGGCTTCTAAGGTCCACACCCTAATACTCTGAAGTCTTCTACCCACACTACCTAATTGGCCAGGTTAAAAATTATCTCATAAATTAATTCATTCTAGAAATGTTAATGACTATTAATAGGTTTACTTTTCTTTTTCCTAGGAACCTTTGCCTTTCAGCATGGTAATTTCTAGAACTGCAAAGCTTTGATAAAGTAGTTTTCAAAAATAGCTGCACATTAAAGTCACCTGGACAGCTTTAACAAATTGCTGGGGTCTGGGGCCTTTACCTCCAATTATTCTAATTAAATTGGTCCTAGGAGAGCTGGTGGGAGTGGATAGTAGTTTTAGGAAAGCTCTCCAGGTGATTCTGAAGCACCACTTTTGTTGAAAATGTCTGCCTAAATATGAAACATGGTATCCTAAAGGTTGCTAGCATCCCTTCCTAAGTTTAAACAAATCACGGTTCTTTCTCTTCTGCATCTCTGTATGGAGCACAGAGAAGTCGGAGAGGAAACTGGATGACCATCAGTTCAGTGTGTGGCTAAAGAAATCATCTGGGTTGGAATATATTCAGTGAGTCTAGTCCTTTTTTTCTTTTTGTCTTAAGGTATTTAGTTTCATCCAAATTTCACTAGGTAGAGATTGAATCTGCAGTGTCAAGCTGGTCATACACAGGCCAGTTTTTACCCACACATGGGATTATTTCACAGTATTTGTTGATTTTTAAAAACAAATTAAAAACAGATGATCTGTATGAAATACAGATGTCTGTCATTTCTTTCAATCTGCAGAACTGGCCCTTGGCTTGCATTTGAGAACGGCTCCTCTGGCTGAAACTGTGTGCTGGCTGTTGATCAGATGAACACGCAATTGTCTATGTGCTGCTGGGTCTGCTCGGCCTGCTCCCTTCATTTAGGTAACTTGTCTGGCTTTTTGGATGTTTGCATCATGATAGGACCGAAATGATAATGAGAGGTACGAGGGAACATGATATGCCTTGTGATATTTTTTCTAATTTTCTTGTGGCTTCTGTATAGTTGGTCATACTATTCCACAGACTTTAAGGGCCTGACATTTGAAATGTTTTCCTAAATCCCTGACAAGTCGTTCAGTAGCAAATGTGAGATACAAACTCAGATTGGGCTGCTTTAGAGTGTCATTCTCTTTCCACCTAAAACTAGCCTTGTTCTCCTTTCCCACAGATGCAGCACATTTAGAGAACACTTTCAGAGGCCTGGCTGCTTGGCCAAAGCCCCCACTTAGATGCTTCTGACTAGGGATCTCATATAAACAAGTTCCCAGGACATCATCATCTACCTCATGACTGTTTCTATGGGAACTGGTTTAGGACAGTCCCAAGGTTACTGAGAAATTCAAACTACTTTGGTTCTTTGTAATGGGTGCTTTCTTGTCTTTATCAAAGAGAGATTTTTGTTTTTTAACTATGAACTGTTTCTAGAAACAGCAACCCAAGCACTTTCTTTAATGGACTATGCATTCCATTAAATGCATCAGTTACCCCAAAAGACATTTTATATATGTAGTTTTGATTTTATCCATGTGACAACCCACTTAGTCCACATAATTTTATAGATGAAACAGTCTCTAAAAGGCTGAGAAAATTGCCCAAAGCCATATGCTTACAGACAGTGTCTCTTCTAGCAGATGTCTGTCAGTGGTCAGTTAATAATTGCTCATCATCCTTAAGTATTTTTATTATAAGCTTGTTATTATTTAAAAAATTTTGAAGATAATTTTATTATTGAACTTCTGGTAAATTTAATAAAATCAAAGAAGAAAAATAATTCTATTTTCTGGAGACAATAGGGTACCACTTCAGCATATTTTTCTCTAGTTTATATGTGTGTGTTTATGCATAATACATAAGCATATTTAATAATATAAATTCATGAATATTGTCAGTGTCATACTGAGTTTACTTAAATAAGGAGATTTCGTGAATCAGGGATAAGTTCACCAAGTGTTTACTAAATATTTATGGTACTGGGAACTGAAATTTCAGAGATAAAAATAACTCGCAGGGAATACCTAGTATTTCCGTATGTGTATGGTATGAGTATGGGTCAGGTTTAAGCTACATGTATATGCGTGAGCTGTGTGTGAAATAGATAACACAGTATTATAATGCAATATAATAAGTGTTCAGACGGTGATAAGCCCTAGGAATTTTGGAAGTCATAGAGACACTGTTCACTTGGCCAAGGGAGAAAGGGCAGTCAACGGATTCTATACCTGGGGAAGGTAACATCTGAGTTGTGTATTTGCTGCAAGAGTGGAAGATACTAGGCAAGCAAGGTACTAGGTAAGCAAGTAGGACATCTAGGGTAAAGGACAGCATGTATAAGTCTCCAAGATACAGGATAATTATTTCTTGAATGCAGTACTCTGACCTCCATTTTGTTCAGGAGAAATCACACAGTGGATGTATTTTCCTTTATGCCAATAGAAGCCACAAGTTATGAACCTATTGGTATAATGACTTTCTCTCCTACTCATTCCGCCAAGCCACTTAGAATTCTAGGCTTGCTCTTCTGGGAGAGACTTACAGAGCCTTTGCTGTATCCAGTGGGAAATATATTTTTTACTCATGGCAGAAAATCTGTTTAATCATTTGGACATAATAGACCATATGCTGGTATGGGGCTGGAAGGTGACATGATAAAGGAAGAGAAAATCACTTGCCACAGGTTCAGGTGATAAGTGTATCAGGCAGGTCTTCGCCTGGGGAAAGAATATAGATTCAAGTGTGCTCAGGTAGGATGAAATCTTGCCCCATCCCGAGTTCCACAGCAGTTATTACAGGTTGCATAGGGCACGCACACTTCTTGCTTAATGAAACATTGAAAAGGGCAAAGTCTCTGCCCTAGTTTCCTCTAAAGATGAATAGAGAAAGAAGCAAAGTTATCTTCTCCCGACCAGATCAGTTAAAAAAATCATGAAGCCATAAAAAAACCTCTTTGATACATAGAAATTTCATATGTTGGCCCAGACAGTAATATTTTTTTCCCCTTTTACTTCTGCTTTATTGCACATTAAACCTAGAAGGCTTCTAGTTAAAAATGCATGTGAAAAAAGCAATTAATGATTGTGGTAGCTTACCTTGCAGGGCAGCTTCCCCTGTGCTTTTGCATATACATTATTTCATTTTCCCAGCAATCCCTCAGTGGACAGAGTGCCATAGCTGAGAAGACATGGACAGGGGAAGGGACACACACACAAGGACACAACCAATTAGGAGCATAGCAGGGATTTAAATCCAGCGCTCTTGGACTTCAGACTGCAAATACTTCTCTCCATACCACTTTGTTGGCTAAATTATGTGAGTCTAGGGTGTGATTGTTAGCCTTCAATAATGTCAAGATATTTCTACTATAAAGAAGGGAAAAGTGACACATTGGAAAGTGCTAGAAGTCTGTACTACAGTGGTCATTCTGCCGACCTCTCTAAGTCTCAGCCTTCAAACTTCTCCCCTTACACTAGCTTCCTAGGTGTTCTCAGGTATATACTCTGACTTCCCTGATTTACTATCCCCTGAGAGATCCTTTTCCTCTGGACTCCCAGCATGTGTATTTGGTTATCTGCTTTGTGTGTTCCCCTCAAGTTTAAGATATTCAAAACTTTTTCTCTCTGCTACTTTCTGTCTTAGTAAATATCACCTCTGCATCTGCCAGGGACTAAGCCCAACCGAAACAGAGCCTTGTAGTTTTCTTTCTCTCCTATCTGGGATACGGAGTTGGCTTTATTAAGGAATTATGTCCAAAACTCAATCATTTTGCACCCCCAACTACTCTTTCCCTTGTGCCACCATACAACCTCCTACCTGCACTTTGAGACAGCCCCTGATGAATGGCCCACTTTCCTCCTTTGTCCCAGTCCGATCTCAGTAGCCAGAGGGATGTTTTTAGAATATAGAATGTAGAGTCATGCGTTCTTTCTGTTCAAAGTCCTCAATTTCTCCCCATTTATGAGGTATTCATGGTCTTACTGTGAGGTGACAGTGTCCTTTTTCTTCTGGCTCCCCTCTCACCTCTCTGCCTTCTTTTTCAGCTCTCACCGCTCTGGCTGTCTTGCTGTTCCTTCAACTCACTTGGCATCCAACGTACTATTGGTTTCTTATCTGTTCCTCTCTCCTCTCAATAGTAGAAGCTCCCTGAAGCCAATGGTCATGTCTGTTACCTTTTTGTTTTTCTCCTGTCGTACCTCCACCTTGAACAATAGTGCATATCATAGGGTAGATATTCAGTAAACACTTTGTGGAATGAATGAATGACCATCTTGGCAATAACATTGTGAAAGCATGAAGGTTCAGAACTCCTGCAGAGAAGTAGGCTATCAACCTGCTTTACTTTTAGCGCAAAATGCTTCCCTAAGTCTTGGAGCTGTAGCTCTCAGTCAAACAGGGCAGTAGAGCCAGTCTATTTCAATAGAGCTGTCAACTATTTACTGCATCTACCTTGACTGATGGTTTGGTTCAAGTTATACTTTATGGGAAATTTATTCCCTCCCACAGTTGCTTCTGCTAACAGAGAGAAGACAATCATTTCTTCTTGACATGATTTTCAACTCAATCTTCTGTCTTGAAGAACTGAATTGTAGCAATACAACCTTTCCAAACCTCATCCTGGTTAAATCAAATGCTGCATTTGTAATTTAACCATTTCCCCCTACTATGTCCTTTTCTCCTTATTTTCTCTTCTTTTCTCATTATGAAATATTGATTTGTGTTGCTTCCCAGTTAGATCCTTAAATACATGACTTTGGAATTATCTTTAAGAAGTATTTTATTTCCTCGTGTGTGTGTGTGTGTGTGTGTGTGTGTGTGTGTATGTGTGTACTACGTTCAAATGCATGGAATAGCTAGAATTTTACTTACATATAAAATGTTTGGAATACAAAGTCAGATATAGTTGAAAATGTATCACTTATATTTTCTTTCTGGTTCTAACTCTAATGGACTGTATAATCTTATCTAAGACTCTTGCCCTTTCAGAGCCTTTCTGACCCAAAAGAAAGCTTGCAGTGATCATATCACTTACTTTAAAAAATTACTCCTTACAATAAATTCTTTTTTTTTCCCTTGTGGTGCTGAAGATGGAAGCCAAGGCCCTGAACAGGTTAAGCAAACACTTATCACTCAGCTGCATTCTCAGACCTAAAAAAAAAATTTATGAACAGAAAATCAATAGGTTTTTCTCTGCAGGAAATTATGTAAAATTTTGATTAAATAGAAACAACCCATAAAGCTCTATTTTATCAGACATTTTCAAGGGAAGAACAAGATGATCTTCAAAAGTCCAACAAAAATACTTACTTATCTATTAATTTATGCAATTATTAAACATTCCTCATTTCCTGCTATCAAAATTTGCAAAGATAAGATGGAAAAGACTAGCATTACTTAGGGTCAGATCAGATATGGCAAAGAGCCAAAACAATATCTTAAACAAAATGGGGCTTTGCTTCCCACGCACATAATACTTCCAAGGTTGGTAAACAACACAAACTATTTCACCTTTCTCTGCTTCAGGGTCCTAAGATTCTCTTTTCCTGTTCCACCAATGCTGTGATATTGTGTGCATCTGCAGGATCCAACATTTCTTTCCCACAAGCTCTGGCTTCCGGCTCTCAAGAAGGAGTAGAGGGGCCAAGGAGCCATGGTTAATCCCTTTGAGAAAATGGCTGGTGTTTGTGCCAGTCACTTCTGCTCACATCCCACAGGCAGTTAGTCATATCCCTCTGCCATCTTCAAGGAAACACCACTTTTATTCCATGTGCCTAGATGAAAGGAGATTTATTACAACAACAACAACAACAATAAAAAAACCAAACAAACACCGAGAGAGAGCTTTTGTAGGAATAGCTATCAGTTTCGGCTACAGATATGAACATTCTAAT